CCCCCGCCAACCTGTGCTCAAAAGATTCCAGATTACTCAACCATTCCTGGGGTGGTGAATATACAGGTCTAATGTTTGAAAATATGTACACATCTTTTGCCTAGGTTTCTGTCCTTGACTCCTATCATGATATGGTAATTCTATCATCAACATTGACAGGGAATATTTCCAGCCTATATGTTCTCTTGCACATCTTCAGCTGCCCACATCTCGCCTCTGGGTATTGATTTAAAGACTTAGCTTCCCAGCATTTCCCATCTAATATAAATATCTCTGTTCCTAATCATTTCTCTGTAGGTGTATTAGCTCACACTTCCCAAAGAGGAAACTCTTTTGGACTCCATTAAGATGCAGTCACACAATCACTGTAGAATGTCCCCATTTATTTCCATCCACAGATTTAATTAAAATGGCATGCCTTTTTTTCTTCTTTATCCTTAATTGGGTTATCTTACTGTATGGAGCAAAAACAGCTAGGCATTACAAAATATCAAAACATTCGGTTACACACTTTTCTTCATCTTCCGGTTTAAATTTTCATTCAGGAAAAAAAAAAACTGATACCTAGACAGATGAAGTGCCTCACTCAAGAGGACACAGTACTTTCGAGCACTTGGCAGAGAAACTATAATAGGGACTCCTGACCCATAGCCAGGGCTCCTTGTCAGTAATAACCTGATCTTGGATGCCTGTGGAAACAGTCAACAGCATCCAGCCACCTTTATTGACATCACTCTCACAGCGAGGGGAAAGAGGAACGCCTAGCAACAACTTCCAACAGCTCCCAATCAAATCACAGTGGAAGGAAGCAGAGCAGCAGCAGCAACAGCAGCAACAGCATATGGACTGCCTGGCCCTAAGGAGTGCGCTGGCAGATTGCAGCAAGGTGCCAAGGCAGCGTTTTCAAAGGGTTTTACAGACAGAGTCCATATGTTGTGACCAAAGCACAGGACTGAACAGGTGAGAGAGCCAGGATTTAAAAGCTTCAATGTCACAGGCTTTTTTTTTCATTATTATTATTTGTTTATTTTATAACCAAAATTCCATTTCAGAACAGAACCACTCGTGATTTTTCTTCTGTGTCTTGAGGTATGGTAAATAGAAAGGTGTTGTCTGTGAGGACCAAGAGTTCCGACCTCTAGCAGGGTCTACTGCCTCCAGGATTAGCAGAATGACCTGGGTAAACTGCAGATGTGCTCCCATTTAATAGGAAACCATGTAAAAGGAAAGCCTTAGAAATTAATTTATTGAGTAGTGATGATTTGTAATCACTCCTGGTCACCTAAAGAATTCTTTCATAAAGGAGTCCCCCTTTGAAGTTTTTTTTTAATGTGGCACATGTAACAATGTCTGTAATTATGTTTCAATTTTCTAGAAATGGCAATATGTAAGCCCTTATGTACATATGGCCCAAATACCATTCCCTACAGAAATGGTTCTTCTCTCCACTTTGGCTGTCTTCTGAGCTATGCCGACACAAATCCACTGTGTAATCTGCAGGTGCTGAGTGAGAGAGAAGCTTGGGTGGAAGGCTAGGAAAGAAAAGAGGAAGGGATCCTAAGGACCTCTCCATGCCATCCTCTAGGGTTGGCCTCCTTAAGCAACGGCATCCATCTTTTCAATTCTCTGCCACCCCAAGTCTCATGCCATGCTCTTTCTAGACCACTAGCAATGAAAGATACAAACGTTGCTTTATTCTCTTGCATGCACCATGACCCACACTTACATTTAGACCTCAGACCTCTCCCTCCGCACCAACCCAACTACACAAGCACAGAATCTATTAGTGGAGTGCAAAGTAGACAAGTAATATTGTACAAAGGCTCATTGCTCAGACCCCACACTCAGACTGCTCAGAAATCAACCTTCCTTTTGCTGCTTATATGCCCTAGAATGATTTCCTCTTCTAAAAAATGAGCATAAAAAGACCTACTTAGTAGGATTTTGTGAAGATAAATTGTGCTCTTATTTGATAGCCGTTCAAACATATGGCAAGTGTATAACTTATTTTCCTCATTGTTGTGATAAAATACCCTGACAAAGGCAGGTGAAGGGAGGAGTTTGTTCTGGCTCACATTCTGAGGATATAGTCCATCATGAAGGAAAGCCAGGGCATCAGGAGCTGGAGGGAGCGAGCTGGTCTCATTGCATTCACAACACAGTCGAGAGGCAGAGAGTTTGTGTTCAGCTTGCTGTCTCCTTTTTACACAGTCTAGGACCACAGCCCGTGGAATGGTGCTCCCCATATCTTGTAGAGTCTCCCCACCTCAACTAACCTAGTGTAGATAAACAGGTAAGAAGCACTGTGTATGAGAATAAATGCATAAGCCACCTATCCTCATTCGTATTAGGCGCTCTAGGTGGTGGTCATCTCTGGAGTTTGTAGACAATGGATTGCCTTCTCTTCCTCCTTGACATGGGTGTGTTCCTGCAAATATAGCTGATCACTGAAATATAATGGAGGTGGTGATGACTATTACTTCCAGGTAAGAGCAAATAAGAGCCAGGAATCCATTTCCCATGATCCTCTTCTGGTGCCTCCATGACTGAGGAATCCAATAAATAAAACATCTGCCCAGGAGCAGAGCCTATACCCAGGAGCATTATATAAGCATGAAATAAATAAGCCATTAGGATCCTACAGTTTGTGACTGTCTTCTGCTGGCATACATTCTGAATTTGCTTTAGGAATAAAAAAAATAGGGGAACAACCATTTTCAACCTTGTCTACATTTAATGATCACCTGAGGAGCTCATAAAAATATCCCAAAGCTGAGGCCATGGCACAGACCAGGTAAGTCATAATTCCTGATGATGAGACCCAGACATAAATTCCTTTGTAACATTACCTAGGTGACTGCAATGTCCATCAGGTGTGAGAACCCAGATCTACAGCAATGCCTCAATCTAACAAGACCCCTGGGATTTAAACAATGTGTCAAGATCTTCTTTAGCTCCTAAGGATTTGGTCTTTGTTTTCACCTGCTGAACAAAGACTTGAAGACAGGTCTTCCTATCCTCATAGCTGCTGAGCGTCTCAAGAGAGAACACATGTCCTCCCGGACTCTTGCACTGCAAGCTCAAGGCCTCCAAAGTCAACCCTTTCAATTCAGCCCATTCTACCTGCTTGCCCTAAGTCGCACTCTCTTCAGCTCTCTACAAGGGCTCTCTCAACCCTTCTCCTCGCTCTTCACACCAATGTTCTCCCGGTTCTTCACACTGATGTTGCCACTCTCTCACCTCCCTGTCTCAGAATGTGACTCACTGAGAAGGTGTCACACTGTCAGTTCTTAGACTCTTGCCTTTGTTCTCTCCTCCCTTCCCGTCTCCTGTGTGGCTGGGAAACAGCTTCAGTCTCCAGCCCTCGAACACACTTCTGGATGGTGTTTTCTCATCCTCTGGAAAATACCACTTTGCTGACTATCCCTCAGCCCTCTCCAACACTGACTGTGTTTTTGTTTTCTTAGCTCACTGTGTCCCTAGCTTTCTCTTTCTCCTATACCTTGTTGGTCAACCTCAGAGGAGCAGGCAGCGAAAGGCACTTTCCGCCTCCTGGTCATTCCTAACCCACCCATACACTAGCCTCTACTGCTGCAATCCCTGAAATGTCGCCACTCCAAGGTTGTGGTGTTTTGTTTCGTTTTTTAATTTGTCAAACCCTGTGAGGAGATTCCCATTCTTATTTTACTTTACTTGCTTGTAGTATGTGACTCTGTTACCCCTCCTTCCCTCTGGAAGTATTCTTCTAAATTAATCAGACCAGGTTTGAATATTGTATGGCTCTAGCATTTTATTGAACCTACCTGTTCAGAATATCCTTACCCGTAAACTGGGAATAGCAATGTCTACCTCATTTGGTTAATATAATATTTACATAAGATAATTGTTTGCCTGGAGAATGACATTAAATAAATAACAAGTATCAGATGGGTAATATCATCAAAGTGGGTACCTACAATATCTAGCAGAAATTACTAGCGTGGCATGATTGACAGAGCAAATAAAAGTAAATTAATGAGCAGCAAGGTTTGGGGGCAAAAGATCTTCTCTGTGGATGAACTTTCACCTTCTCATTCCCACGACAGGCATTTTTATACCATAGGATAAGCAAATTTAGCCTGTATTGGAAATATTTAACTTCTAGCTGTTCTCAAGGGCACAATGTTTTTAATATTCTTAGCTGTTTGTTTTTCTCCTCCTGTCCGATACAGGGTCAAGGGGCCAACTAGCCCAAGACAAAGAGTTTAGGAAGACACTTAAGA